TATATCATATATAGAGTTTTTGGTGTAAATTTAAGGCAAGTTTTTTAAAACAATTTTTAGATAAAAAAAGTTGTAATTCAAGGGCACGAAAAGGGGTAAAGCTAAAGTATTTCTTTAACGTAGTAATTATCCCTCAATTAACGTCTTTAGTGACAAATGTGATATAATAAGTAATAATTTAGACTGTGTTATTTAAGGTCATGTGTAGAGGGGGAAAAAGTAGTTTAGGAGCGTGAAAGGGAGTAGGGTAGGCCTATAATATATAGCAGATAAATTCTTCTAAAAAAATAATGATGTTAGAAACGTAAATATCATTACATTTTTAAAGTTATGAACTTTGATGAGTTTTTGCAATAGCAGTTAGAAATTATCGCATAGGATCTACCATTATTAACCCGATAAAATCGGGTCATTTATTCTAGTTTTTAAAAACGCAACTGCGTTTGGTGCGTAATATTTTCCTTTCAGAAATGAAATCGTCTCAATTTAAGTATTGTGTGAAAAATATTCGGTATAAAAGTGGTTGGGACATGAGAATATTAATATAGTTCATGGGCGTGAAATAAAAAGTGTGCAGTGACGTAACATGGGGGGGAAGGGGTGATAGCAAATATTGGGAATCTTTTAAATGTGCGTTACTTGAGTTCATGTTTTCTCAAGTAACTTTACTAGATGGGAAGTTCACGCCGCCAATGTTTGGCGGGCTCTATCTAGTATTTATTATTTTTTAAAACAAAAACAAAAAAATGGGCCTGACAAAAAAGCCATACAACGAACTTTGCGCACACACATATAACAACACTGCTGATGTGCGCCCCTCCTGGGCTCATTAGGTCCAAACGACACGGTGGCCAACGAGGACATAAGTCACTATGCAATTCACCGAGGTGCGATCGTACGTGTGTGTCCGCCACCACCGGCCATGGAAAGGGGGACAGTGCTTTCGTCAAAAAAGTTTCATACTCGGGTCGAGGCGCAGAAGTGTGTGTGTGTGTGTCTGTGTGAGCCTGACCGCTGTTACAAAAAAAATATGACGTGTATCCGGTTAAAGAAGATCATCAAATACTTGAGGACTTCAGACTTTAACTTTACTGAATCTCATGAATCAGGTCATCAAATCGTTGAAAATTCAGACATTAACATAAATGAATTTCATGCATCAGATCATCAAATCGTCGAGTTTCAGCTCGATAAGTTGACGGAAAGTGGGTCGATGAGCCGTCCGAGGATATTGCCAGTCCACCACCCAGCCAGCCAACCACCCACGAACAAAAGCGAAGTTAATATAAAGGATTTAAAAGGGATTTGTATGATCACAAGCAGGTCAAGAGAGACACCTAAATTTTCACTAGCCTCTCTTATGTTACTCGCCAAAATAAATGAAGCATGGGGAAGAACTACATTCAGAAGCATACCAGAATGCACCTCTGCATTTTGAATTTATGAAACAGTTTATGTGGGGATGTTTTCTGAGCCCTCATCACCAAAGCCCACCTTCATTCTGTTCAGGAACTGCGACTGTGTACATCAAGTAAATGAGCTGCGTACATCAAGTAAATGAGCTGCGTACATCAAGTAAATGAGCTGCGTACATCAAGTAAATGAGCTGCGTACATCAAGTAAATGAGCTGCGTACATCAAGTAAATGAGCTGCGTACATCAAGTAAATGAGCTGCGTACATCAAGTAAATGAGCTGCGTACATCAAGTAAATGAGCTGCGTACATCAAGTAAATGAGCTGCGTACATCAAGTAAATGAGCTGCGTACATCAAGTAAATGAGCTGCGTACATCAAGTAAATGAGCTGCGTACATCAAGTAAATGAGCTGCGTACATCAAGTAAATGAGCTGCGTACATCAAGTAAATGAGCTGCGTACATCAAGTAAATGAGCTGCGTACATCAAGTAAATGAGCTGCGTACATCAAGTAAATGAGCTGCGTACATCAAGTAAATGAGCTGCGTACATCAAGTAAANCCCCACCCCCCGAAAAATCTGAAGTGCCCCCCCCCCAATTGTTCCCTCTAAGTAGTGTTGGTTCGTGTGAAAAATCATACAGTTGTGTGCAAAGTTTTACAGCGTCCATTTTTATGTGCAAAATTGTATAGCCCACAAAAGCAAACACACACTTACAAGGAAATTTTCTGCTCATATACTCAAAACCGCTGCGCGGCGTCTGTGAGATAAAGTGAACGTTGGTTCCTGCTCTTTCTATCTTACGGAACTTCTTACTGTTTTTTCACTCCTTCCGAACCTTCATTTCCTCCGCAGGCGCGTGCATTCTTTTTGTTCCCAGAGCGTGCACTAAAATATTTGGTGAACGATTTTTCTCTTTCTGCGCCCCCAAAACAATGGAATTCTCTTCCACTAGCCCGCAATATACCAACCATATTAATAGCCTTCAAAACTGCAATCAAACACATCCCATTTAATTCTACAGTCCCGAATAATTCCACCCAATTGTCGAAAAACGAAGCTGCTGGTTGCTGTCCATGGATTGACATGGAAAAGTTTTGAGATTTTTTGTGTGAATATTCATTTTTGTTGTTGCTATAAAGCTGTTTTTTTAATTAAATTAATGTATTTTATTTTTTATGTTATGATTATGCTATGAACTGGCCTCGCAGGCCGGATCAACCCACCGGCCGTAGTTTGGCTTATACCTGCTCTAGGTTTTACGAACAAATTTAATTTAAAATAAACTAAATCAGTTGCATTATATTTATGTAATACCACCTTAAGTATTAGAGAAAGAAAAATGCGAACTCAAACTCCATCTTTCTCCAAAGTTACTTTGCTGTTTTTGGATTATCCCTGTATTAGAATACGTGGACCTAGTTTAAATAATTGAAAAGAGAGTGCATATATATATATATATATATATATATATATATATATATATATATATATATATATATATATATATATATATATATATATATACAAATATACAAATATACAAATCAAACTTTCTAGAGATCATTATGCTTTCAGTATTCACATACCTTACTACTAGTACAGCTCTTGTATATACAAATCAAACTTTCTAGAGATTCTCATGCTAACAGTATTCACATACCGTACTTCTCGTATGTCAAGGGTATGAGAATCACTGTTGTTATGTGTAGATCACTGTTGTTATGTTTGGTAGGGATACGATGTCTTGTTTAGAGATTTCATGTGTAGCTGTATCTATTGTGTGGGAGTGTTGTGACGTATCTGTGTGAGGGGAAATGACCTGTTAGTTTTAGTTGTTGATAGAAGGATAGATGGCCGTTGTGTGATATTCAAGGCGTTGTTTGTTTCTGTGAGGATTCGACTGAATATATCGTTAAGTATAGCATTGATTAGTTACGAGTATTGTTGAAGTGTATTGATCCGTCAGGTTTTGACGAGGCACAATATAATTACAGCATTGAAATCATATCCATGTATTCAGTGTTTACTGTGTTGTCGGTTACACGGTTGTGTATCATAAAGTAAGAGACTAGTTTTTCCCACGGGTGAACATCTGGCTTCGAAGGGTGGATGAGCACTGGACACTAAGATCTACATTTAGTCATCGTACAGCTCTTGTCTATACAAATCAAACTTTCTAGAGATTCTCATGCTAAGAGTATTCACATTCCCTACTAAAAAAAAAAACACTTAAAAATAATACAATAGAGGGATGGGGCGACAATGTCCAAACCGACTCAAGAAAAAAAAATAAAAGAAAAAAATATGTTTTTGATTTTTGACTCATTTTTGTTTCTTGTTTTTTTATCTGCCGAAGAAAGATTTTTTTTTAAATTGTCATTTAATTCTCCTTTTTCCCCAAACCTAAATGTATCCTATTTAATAATTTATTAATGACTTGAAGACTTTCATTTCGGTAACTGTTTGTAGTCTCATACTCTGATCTGTGCTACCTATGTCGATATATGAGAACTGTTTGTAGTCTCATACTCTGATCTGTGCTACCCATGTCGATATATGAGAACTTTTTGTAGTCTTATACTCTGATATGTGCTACCTATGTCGATATATGAGAACTGTTTGTAGTCTCATACTCTGATCTGTGCTACCCATGTCGATATATGAGAACTGTTTGTAGTCTCATACTCTGATCTGTGTTATCTACATTGATATATGAGAACTGTTTGTAGTCTCATATGCTAATGTATGAGAACAGTTTGTTGTCTCATATGCTAATGTATGAGAACAGTTTGTTGTCTCATATGCTGATCTGTATTACCAATGTCGTTGTTAGAAAAAGAGTTTCTTCAATTTCGAATTGCAACTATTTTTTTTTTATTAATAACATTCCAAAGAAATCTGGGCTTGTGACCATGACTCATAGATGCTTATAATTTCTATGCTTATTAGATAACCCTTATTTGACCTGATCTTGCTGATGTCTCAAAGGCCGTACCGGCAATCACGATGAGCACCTGCGCCACTTGAAGTGGACTATATGTGTATTTAAATAGGGACGCAGCCAGTTAGCCAAGAGTAACTTAAGAGAAGCAGGAAAACAGCTCACGCGGACATACACGTGACGAAAAGGAAAGAGAAGAAAGCCTTGCCATTACGATAGAACAATAAACAATATTTAAATAGTCATCGCACGTGCAGGACGGTTCCAGCTTTTGCTGTCTGAAAATTCAGACTTGTGGAGGATCTGTTTAGAAATGCCACGACTGCGTTCTGATCACAGGCTTATTATTGCTGTCTTGGTAAGTTAATGTGATAAGTTTTTATTTAATAATTGATGGACTAATATTCTTAGTGTCCTTTCTGCTAATTCACGTTTAACATACCTTGTTCTAAAATTTAATTTTTATTTGATTTTTTTTTATTGAAACACTAAACAGACAACAGCAGAATATTTTATTTTAACTTCAAGCCCATTTGTATAATTTTGTTTTATTTAATTTTTAAAGTGACTAATAATTAATCAATTGTATTGGATGCTGTTATGTTAGGTCGTGATTTTGGTGAAGAAAGGTGCGCCAGTTACCTTGGATGAGCTGATCTCTGGAGCGTCGGATTGGAAGGACGGATTTCAAATGGATGACGGTGACGCAAATACCGTATTGCAAGAGTTGGACATGGTGCTGACAATGGAGCAGTACAGGGCCTTACAGGTGGGTAATAGCATAGGACTGGTCACTTGATGACACTGGTATATTAATAACACTGGTTACCCTATATAACTGGTAATGTTATAACACTGGTTATATTATAACACTGGTCATATTTAAAGCACTGGTAATATTTCGACACTAGCAATACTATAACACTCTTCAAATTGTAAAATTGATTTTTTTTTTATATCACTGGTTATTTTATAACACTGGTTACGTGATGAAATATTGACATGAAATTAAGAAGTCAGTGATAATGAAGAAACTATATTGTTAATATGGACGATTAGTAAAAAAAAAAATTCACAATGAAACAAATCTGACACCTAGATGGAATTCATGGAATCATTTTATCTGCCACAATTGAAATGTGTTTTTTCCCCATAAAACATTTAGGCCTTACACTATCCTAAAGCTGTTAGAATTCTATTATAATTGGCGTTCCTTTACACACGTGTGTAAAATACAATTTTATTTCTCCCAGGACTTAAAACAAGACGCAGCTTCTGGTTCATCAAGATATAAGCGTAAAGCTTTGTTAGCCGAGTCGTTTCGCTGGAAGAACAAAGTGATCCCATACAAGATAGTCGCTAATGTTTTCGATGCCAAGGACAGGGGAGAAATAAGACGCGCTATTGACGAATGGCAGAATTATACATGCATAACCTTCAGGGAGGCCACACGCAATGATAAAAACTTCGTCCGCATTGGCAACGGGCATGGGTGCTACTCTAACGTAGGTATGGTCGGGGGTCCTCAAGACCTGGGTCTCGCCGGGGGATGTCGTGTCAAAGGAATCATTGTCCACGAGCTGGGGCACGCTGTCGGGTTTCACCACGAGCAGAACCGCCCTGACCGTGACGACCACGTGACCATCATCAGGCAAAATATCCAGGAAAAATTGTACTACAACTTCCAAAAATATCCCTGGACCGGACTTACCACGTTAGAAGTCCCGTACGACTACAAGAGCGTGATGCATTACGGGGGTACCGCTTTCTCTATGAATGGTCAGGTTACTATTAAAACAAATGACCCTGCTTACCAAAACGTGATCGGAAGCAGAGTGGGCCTTAGCTTTTTTGACATCAAACTGGCCAATCTGATGTATAAATGTAACTCGGGCTGTCCAGTCAACAAAGTCTGCCCCCACCCTGGGTTCGTGGGAAAGGATTGCAAGTGTTGGTGCCCGGGGGACCCCATAAAACCATGCGAAAATGAAGGCGTTGTCTCTACCAAAAAACCATCCGCAAAATGCGAGGACTTAGGCCCACACTGCTCTGACTGGGCGAAGGCAGGTTACTGTCGGACGAGTACGGACACTAAAGAAAAATGCAAAAAATCATGCGGGGCTTGTACAGGGGACCCCGTGAATCCACGGGGACAAAACCCATCCGCCAAATGCCAGGACTTAGGCCCACACTGCTCTGACTGGGCGAAGGCAGGTTACTGTCGGACGAGTACGGACACTAAAGAAAAATGCAAAAAATCATGCGGGGCTTGTACAGGGGACCCCGTGAATCCACGGGGACANTTCTGTGTGTGATATTATTAGCTTTCTTGATTAGTCTATTCAATTGGTGTTTGATGTCAGACGATGAATTCCCGCACCCGACGGTAATAATGAAGTTTAGCAGTCTTCCAATTATTGCACTGTAGATTAAATTAAAATCTTGTTGAAGCCGAAATTATATATATATATATATATATATTTAAAGTAGCATGTTATATACGATTTCATCGTCGTTGTAAAAAATGTAATATTTCCCCATACTTAAAGTATGTTATTGTACACCCCAAACCTCCATTCACTGTTTTCGATTTTTTTTTATTTTGTTCCCGTGACGCCTCTGTTTACACATTTACACAGCTGACATAAAAAAACATTACGGGTTTTTGCTGAGCTGTCAAGGCGACACGATATGGTAGGTCAAGGTGCGTGGAAGCTTGAATCAAAAGACAAAACAAATGAAAATACGACAAGATATATAGTTAAAACACTCTGTTTGGTGTCGTAGTTTCATGTGTCCTGTCGGCTGAGGAAGGCTCTAGGCCGAAGCATTCACATCTCACTGTCCTGTCTATTGATTCAAGCTCCCACATACCTTATTCTACTATTTAGTTCACACAGATTAACGCAGTCCTTTAATTATTGTCTAGTCTGCAGTAACTTGATTTGATGTTTTGCCAAACTGTTAGATGATTTTTTCTGGTATTGTCCTGCTCGCCATTAACTTTGCACCAGCTTGAACAACCAAATTAAATATTTTATAGATTTATTTCTTCTTCTTTCAATTTAAAGCGGAGCTAGATATCACGTTATTAGCAGTGTTCAAAGTCTTCGTCTTTTCAATTCTTTTTAAACAAAGAAAAATGCATTCCATTTGTTGTGGTGCATTGACTTTTCTTTGTGCATTGGCATTGCTTTGTGCATTGACCTGGTTGTGGTGAATTGTCTTGGTTGTGGTGATTTGAGTTAGTTGTGGTGAATTTACTTTGCTTTGTGCATTGACATGGTTGTGGTGAATTCTCTTGGTTGAGATGATTTGACATTGGTTGTGGTGAATTTACTTTGCTTTGTGCATTGACCTGGTTGTGGTGAATTGTCTTGGTTGTGATGATTTGACATTGGTTGTGGTGAATTTAATTTGCTTTGTGCATTGACATGGTTGAGGTGAATTGTCTTGATTGTGATGATTTGACATTGGTTGTGGTGAATTTACTTTGCTTTGTGCATTGACATGGTTGTGGTGAATTCTCTTGGTTGAGATGATTTGACATTGGTTGTGGTGAATTTACTTTGCTTTGTGCATTGACCTGGTTGTGGTGAATTGTCTTGGTTGTGATGATTTGACATTGGTTGTGGTGAATTTAATTTGCTTTGTGCATTGACATGGTTGAGGTGAATTGTCTTGATTGTGATGATTTGACATTGGTTGTGGTGAATTTACTTTGCTTTGTGCATTGACATGGTTGTGGTGAATTCTCTTGGTTGAGATGATTTGACATTGGTTGTGGTGAATTTACTTTGCTTTGTGCATTGACCTGGTTGTGGTGAATTGTCTTGGTTGAGATGATTTGACATTGGTTGTGGTGAATTTACTTTGCTTTGTGCATTGACCTGGTTGTGGTGAATTCTCTTGGTTGAGATGATTTGACATTGGTTGTGGTGAATTTAATTTGCTTTGTGCATTGACCTGGTTGTGGTGAATTCTCTTGGTTGAGATGATTTGACATTGGTTGTGGTGAATTTACTTTGCTTTGTGCATTGACCTGGTTGTGGTGAATTCTCTTGGTTGAGATGATTTGACATTGGTTGTGGTGAATTTAATTTGCTTTGTGCATTGACCTGGTTGTGGTGAATTGTCTTGATTGTGGTGAATTGACTTTGTTGTTGTGAATTGACTTTGTTGTGGTGAATTTACTTTGTTGTTGTGAATTGACCTTGTTGTTGTGAATTGTCTTGATTGTGGTGATTTGAGTTTGTTGTGGTGAATTTACTTTGTTTTTGTGAATTGACTTGTTTGTGGTGAATTGTCTTGGTTTTGGTGATTTGACATTGGTTGTGTTGAATTGACTTTGTTGTTGTGAATTGACTTTGTTGTTGTGAGTTGACTTTGTTGTTGTGAGTTGACTTTGTTGTTGTGAGTTGACTTTGTTGTTGTGAGTTGACTTTGTTGTTGTGAGTTGACTTTGTTGTTGTGAGTTGACTTTGTTGTTGTGAATTGACTTGTTTGCGGTGAATTGATTTAGTCTGCACCATGTTTGGTCAATACCGATATTTTGAAAAGTCGTGTACAAAGGAATGTTCACACCAAGTGTGGCCAAGGTACACAATTTACGTACAGTTTTGCATTATTTCGAAAGCTTTCTTGCATCGCTTGGGCTGATTTCATAAAATACATTGTGGTAGAAACTTTTACATTTATTGAAGAGCTTTTCCAAAACGTTACAGCTATCTTTAAAACTAATTTAATAACATTGGAGGAAAATCATAGAGACTTATAGAAACAGAGAATATTTATATTTTCTTAAAACCATTTTTTTGTTGTTGTTTTTTTGAAAATGAAACGCTCTAGAATAACGTAGAAACTGAAAGATTTTATTATTTTTTAAAATTAACCATCACCGTAGAAATTCACGGAAAAGTACAGAAATGTATACAACAAAAATCTTCATAACATATTTATCTAATTTGCATTTTCATAATTTTCATCTACGGAAAAAAAAAACTTCTATGAAAACTCGATATATTTGTGTCAAGCTTCAAATAACGTGCTACAAAATGACTCGCTTGTGTAATCACTATGTAAATACTAATACAGCTAAAGCAAAATGCCATAATTCTAGATACTTTGCATTAAAGTTGAGATAAATAAACGGGCCCCACGGGAACCCGTTCTAAAAGGTGAGGTTTTATTGTCACCACGATAGGGGCCTTCGACAATTCAACATAATAAATAGCCAAGTCCAAACAAATGTTTAAACTGTCCCCATGGAAACAATGGACAAATTTCAGAACTATTATGCCGTATGTTAGTGAAGAATTGATTAGTGTGCGTGATCCCAGCAGTGCTGCAACAGTCGCGGTCTGCTAATGTCACGTGACAGTAAGTGGTTGCCGATGTCAAGTGACAGTCTGTGGTCTGCCGATGTCAAGTGATAGGAAGTGGTCTGCCGATGTCAAGTGGCAGTAAGTGGTTGTCGATGTCAAGTGACAGTTAGTGATCTGCCGATGTCATGTGACATTCAGTGATTGCCGATGTCAAGTGACATTAAATGGTCTTCCGATGTCAATTAACAGTGAGTGGTTTCCGATGTCAAGTGGCAGGCAGTGGTTGTCGATGTCAAGTGACAGTCAGTGGTCTGCCGATGCCAAGTGACAGCAAGTGGTTGCCAATGTCAAGTGACAGTAAGTGGTTGCGGATGTCAAGTGGCAGGCAGTGGTTGCGATGTCAAGTGACAGTCAGTGGTCTACCGATGTCAAGTGACAGTAAGTGGTCTGCCGATGTCAAGTTACAGTCAGGGGTCTGCCGATGTCAAGTACCAATTAGTGGTCTACCGATGTCAAGTGACAGTCAGTGGTCTGCCGATGTCAAGTGACAGTTAATGGTCTACCGATGTCAAGTGACAGTAAGTGGTCTACCGATGTCAAGTGACAGTAAGTGGTCTACCGATGTCAAGTGACAGTCAGTGGTCTACCGATGTCAAGTGACAGTCAGTGGTTTCCGAGCGAAGATCGCAAGTGTCGCTGGGGTTCTTGAACCGGGTCGGTGGCAACGTTGTTTTCACTCAAAAAATTTATCTTGTTTTTAATTAATAAAGTTTATGTTGTTTAATTAAATCAATAAAATTATGTTTAGTCGTCAATAATATTATGTTTCTATTTCATCAATAAAATTGTGTTGGTTTTTTTTAAAAAATCAATCAATTTATGTTGTTGAATTAAAATTATTTAAAGACACGAAAATAATATGCCAGTCAAGTGTTTACAGCTCTGAGATGCTGGCCACCATGGGCTACAATGCGCCAATTCAAGGATATGACAAAAGAAAAGGGATGGTTTATGTTTTCCAAATTTCAATTTCAAAATGCATTTAAAATTTGTACGTCGCTTGCGAAACTTTTTTTTTTACGTCAAACTCATCGTACGATCCCAGAACAATGGGAAACTGGCGCTTTACAAATTAGCTTTTCTGGCACACCTTTCCCTGGGCGTTCGCCCCCATCCCCGGGAAACGTTCTCCTGAATCATCTCTAACAATTAGAAGTTTGATGCAAGCGCTCTAATGGGAGGTTGAGACAATCTGCGTGGCGAAAAGATAGAAAGAAACTGTGTCATAACCAGAGTGACGTCAGTGTCTCCTCGAATGAAGTTAAACATTGCAGTCAAGTGACCTGTCCGCGGACGCTTTCGCCCCCCCACCCCTTTTTTTAAAAAACTGTTTTGTAAGCTACTTGAGAAATAGCGGTGTTACAAAGCAAACCTCTTGATGTGAACTTGAGGCCCGCACGCGGTGGTGGTACATTCCAACACCGACTCCAACATCAACGCCTTCAACATCAATTTCGGTTTTACATTTAAGATATTCACACATCGAAGCGTTCAGACCGAAGTCGTTTTCTCTAAACCAGCGGTTCTCAACCTGTGGGCCGCGACCCCTTTGTGGGTCACCTAACACCATCTGAAAACACACATGCTCTGTAGTTGTGAAGTAGAAATGAAAATAATTTTGTGGCGGGGGGGGGGGTAGCCACAACATGAGGAGCCGTATTAATGGTCCCGGCATGAGGAAGGCTGAGAACCACTGCTCTAAACAGATAAAATGTGAATTTAATACTCATCTTATAAACGGTTACCGGACATTGGATCCAAGGAAATTCCGTCGACCGAAAATTGATCGAACAGAAATTTGGTCTAATATAATTTCTTTTACGTTCACAAGTTAAAATTTTCGTCAAATTTCTTTTTGAACGCACTAGATCTACACTATGTAGTAAAAA